AAGGTCTGGTGCCACACATCTGTAATGTCAGGGACCAGGATGAAGGTTCAAGAAATGCTTGAAGCACAAAATTTAATCAGTCACTGTGCGCTTTGGGAAATGGCTGACCTCCAACTTTTACAAACTTGGGAGTGAGAGTCTTGGAGCTCAGAGCCTCAGCTAGCCCTAGGATTGTTTCCTTTCCTGAAAACAACAAGAATTAAGACCAGGAAGCAAATGGACCACTGAGTAGAAATGTGGGCTGATATGGTGTCCCACTTTGTACTTGAATCACACCATTTCAACTGGACAGGAAGGTTAAGGAGAAAACACTCTGCCTTAGAGAAGCTTCTATATCTTTCCTAATGACACCCAGCATGTCATGATGAGTAAGGACCAAAAGAGGCCTTGGCTACATAGTTTAATGGGCTACTAAAGATACTGTCTCAAAACAAAACAAAAAACAAAACAATCAAATGAGCCCAGCATATTTGCACATGCCTATAAGTCTAGCTCTTTGGGGCCTGGGGGATGGAGTAAGATCAGAAGTTCAAAGTCGTTCTTGTCTAGACAATAAATTCTGAGCTAGCCTGCACCAAATGAGACCTTGTCTCAGCCAAAAACTAGATCTGTAATGGTGCAAGGGTTATATCACACACACACACACACACACACACACACACACAGACACACACACACACAGACACACACAAATACTTTAAAAAGACCCTAAATTAAACTTAGCAACATACCAAAACAATAACAACATACCCTTTATGTTACTAAGTCCCAAAGCAGAACCTCTATTTCTTTTGTTTTGAGACAGGTCTGACTACGTACCTCAACTGGACGAGGACTAGGATCCTACTCTTTGAGCTTCTTGAGGGCAGCAAGGACCAGTGTGTGTTACTTTGTTTGGTTTAAAAAACTTCTGAGTACACATACACGCCGCAAGCATGCTCACCTTCCAAGCAACCCCGTCTTCATCAAGCAACTTCACTTTCTAATTGTCCGAGCGCCAAATCTGTGGCGTCACCTCTGCCACCTTCATCTCTCAGGCTGTATCTAATCCTTTGATGCCACACTCAAGTATCAAACTTCTGATATCAAACACTGAGTCACAGTCATCCCTGGGTTTAAGGTCTTCTGTATCCCATTGTAGCTCCTGTGACATCTACAATCTATTCTCAACACAGCAACTACAACAGAAATGAGGACACTAGTGGGACAAGACAGACAGGATCACGCTTTTAGCCCACAAAGTATGATCCTATATGCTCTCCCTCCTCCCTCTCTACAGTCCTAGAATGAGCCTGGCCCTGAGCCCTCTTCACCAAGAGAAAAAAGAAACAACTGAATAGCTACAGGATAAAGCCAGAGAGTCTCCAGGACAAGCAGGCCATTGAACTGAATCTTATACAGGGAATCTCCCTAAGACTCTTCAAGAAAACGAAACTTCACAGCTAATAAATCTGAGCTCCCAAAGAAAACGCCTGTTGTTGTTTCTGTTGACAAGGGCCTACATTCCCTATGATATCAGCGGACTGTTCTCAGTCCCTTTTCTCTTTAACGACAGCTTCTCCCCAGAGCTCACAGCTTCAGCTTGAAGGATCTTCGTGAACATCTAGTGTCAGAAAGAGAAATATCCTTTCACTTTGTTTTAAATTTTAATTATATGGTCTTCCCATGTAACTCTGGCTGACGTGGAACTTGCCATGTAGATCATGCAGGCCTTAAACTTGGGGTGTTCCTCCTGTTTCTGCCTCCTGAATGCTGGGGAGTCACTGTCCTAAACTAGCTCTCTACAGGCACTGGCTAGCACAATGAGCTCAGAACAGTTCTTTACAAATGTAAATATGCACATTCTGCTACCCACTTCTTCAAGTTCCTAGTCCAATTCCAAGTCTTTACACTCGTCTTAAAAGCCCCAGCATCTGTGTCCACCCTCTCTTCCCTTGCTCCCTCTGCTCCTGCTGCACTGATCTGGACACTGAAACACCAAGCTCAGGGCCTCTGCATCTGCTGCTCCTTTGACCACACAACCCTATGGCATCTTCCCTCATCCACTTCAGCTCTGCTCAGTCGTCACTCTTGGGTGAATCCTCTCCTAACCTTGCTCAGTAGAAGCACAAGCTCGCACCTCAGGCTCGATCTTCTTCCAGGCTTTATGTCTGTTTTCACAGCACCCATGGCCATTTGACGTGTTTCCCTTATTTCTTTATAACTCGTTTCCCCAACTGGAAAGCAAGTTCCTGAAGGATGAAGACTGCTTCGTGCTCAGGTGGAGCAAGTACGGGGAGGTAACTGCATGGAGGACATGCGGGTGCCTGGTAGCTCTCCATTCAGATGTGAAGGGATGAAAGCCTGAGTGTGCTGCCCAGCTCTGCAGGCACAGGCTGCCCTGACTATGAGATAGTCCATAGTGATGCCACAGCTGCTAGGATTTTAACAAAGCATAAACCCAGCAGCGCACAAAACTCCCTGAGCACTCACCAAAGACACCTGGCTACCTTCCTTCCTGTGCAGAGCAGCCCCCCAAATTAAAAACCCTGGACTAGGTGGGTGCTGTGGAATCCCTATCGCCCTTCCAGATCTAAGAACCGAGGCGGGAAAAGGATGCCGCCGTCCACACCCACTCACCCATGCCATGCCAGATCACCAGCGGTGGTGGAGAAGGTGGGTCCAGATGCCCCAGGGCCCAGGCGACGCAACACCAAGGCAGCAGAGCCGCAGCTAGCAGCCTCCCTGAACCGGGCGACGCCATCTTAGCAATCACATGACCGCAAGGGCTGGGGACTGTGGACTAAAATAATTCCGGTGGCCACGCCCCCGCCGGGCTCTACAGCCTGACGGCTGGCTGACATTTGTCCATTGACACACCCACCAGACTCTACTATATAAGGGCTTTCCATCTTTTAATTGATCTTATGCACTGCTCTTATTTTACACCCAAAGACGTCTAGGTGACAATTTTTTCTACGGAATTGTGTCTCTTCTTTCAGCTGTGTATTAGCAGAAAAGAGCTGTTTATTCTCTAACAATTATGTCACTTGCACGTAATTTTAATTCTCTGTGTCGGCATTTCATATGTGTATGGCACGTGTGCTATAGCGCATGTGTGGAGGCCAGAGGGCAGCTTGCTGGAGTGGCTTCCCGCTTTCCACTCTGCCAGTCAGAGGAATTGAATTCAGATCATCAGGCTTAGCTGCAGGTGCTTTTACCCCAGAAGACTGTTTTTATTTTAACATGTGTGTGGGTCCCTGTGAGAAATTAGGTAAGGTTCACAGAGGCAGCAATCTCTTCAGCACTGTGCCACTTATAGCCCTTGGAAGGAAAGGCTCAGTGTTGGGACTGCGGAAGAGAGACTTGATTTTCATCCAGGGCAAGTATATATCATGGTGAGTTTTGTTTTGGATCGTCAAGGTAAGATGGGGTTTCAACAGGCAAAGATGTAATTAGGGAGGAGGAAGTTTGAGCTCCTGACGGGGGAAAGGTATCTTATTAAAGACCTAATCAGGACTCAGGCTGTCCCGGACTCTCAGGTGTTTCCTGTACTAGGAAGATGAGGAGACACAGCCACTTCCTAGCCAAGCTCCACTCTGCTTTATTATAGCCAGAGGCTCTTGTCTATGCCCCCACATCTTTTCTAGATTCTATCAGTGCCGTCTTGGCGCCTCAATGACGGTGTCAAACACTTTTTCCCCTAAAAAACATTAAAAATGTTTAAGTGAATCTGTTAAATAGGGTGTAGTCACGCTACAGTGGGACTCTCTGACGCCAGCTTTATAAAAGATGAAGTAGTCTTGTAGAGAGCGACATATGAAAAATCTAGAAGAACAACTGGTTGCACACCCACATGAAACCCTTCTGTACCACACCACTGAAACTAGCAGTTACTTAGTAATTGAAATTATCATGTGTCTTCCGGTGCACAGTTTGATAAGCTTTGGGCCAGAAAGCTCAGCTGGATAAAACAGTGGCCACTAAGCCATTCCTGATCCTTTCCTCTGGGGACTATGATGGCTTGAAGTTAAAAAAAAAAACAAGTTGTGCAAGCTGTCTTCTGAGCTCTACACACCGACAGTCATATGTCCCCATAGAGACACATAAACACACAGAGTAAACAAATAAATCATAGTAAAAACAAAGAAAAGATAGGCCCAGGGCTAGGGAGACAGCTCTCTCATTAAAGTGCTTGCTGCTTAATCACTAGACCTTGAGTTGGAAGGCCACATCCACAGGTGTAGGGCAGTGCACCTATAATCCCAGTGCGGAGGAGGCAAAGCCAAGGGGATCCCTGGGGTTTGCCGGCCAGACAGTCTAATCAGATCACCAAGTTCCAGATTTAGTGGGAGCCTCTGTCTCAGACATGAGGTAAGAGGGATTGAGAAAGAAACCAGATAGCCCAGGTTGGCCTGGAATTTTCTATGTAGCTGTGAATGAACTCTTGCTTCTCTTGCCCCTGCAGGAGAAAGTGCTGGGATTATAGGCCTGGGCTACCATACCTGGCTCATTTTTTACTTTATACATTGTGTATGATTTGTATTTTTACAGCAAGGATACACAGCAAGGTGCTCTCTCGCTCTCTCTCTCTCTCTCTCTCTCTCTCTCTCTCTCTCTCCCTCTCCCTCTCCCTCTCCCTCTCCCTCTCCCTCCCTCCCTCCCTCCCTCTCTCTCTCTCTCTCTCTCTCTCTCTCTCTCTCTCTCTCTCTGTTGTCATGTGACTGAGTGCATATTGGAGCCAGAGGATGTCCTCAGGTGTCCTTCCAGAGGAGCCATCCACTTATTTTGTTGAAGCAGGGTCTCACTGGCCTGGAATTTGCCAAATAGCCTAAGCTGTCTGGCCAGAGATCCCCAGGATTTGCCTGTCTCTGCCTGCCCAGTGCTAGGATTGTAAGCACTCACCACCATGCCTGGAAGTTTTACCTGGGTTCTGAGGATCAAACTTACCAGGCCAGCCCCTTACTGACTGAGCTATGTCCCAACCCTCCCCTTTAAAAAATAGAATCACTCAGTTATTCCTGGCTGGCCTGGAAATTTCTATGTACACTGTGATTGGCCTTCAACTTAAGGCAGCTGTCCTTCCTCTGTTGCCTTGCTAGAGTTCCGGCTGTTTTCACGATACTGTCTATGGAAACGTAACTTCTAAAATCAGAATGCAATGATATATACACATCAAAAATTGCATGTAAACTGCTTCAGTAGCAAGAGTAGACACTTGTTCTGTTGGCAAACATTTTCCTCCGTCCTAATTGCAGCCACACCCCACCCCAAAGGCAGAAGCCTATGTAATAGAAGGAAAAACAATAATTTGTGTTTGTGTGTGTGTGTGTGTGTTTGTGTGTGTGTGTATGTAGCTATGTGTGCAAATGCACATATCCCATGGTGCACATATGGAAGTTAGAGGACTACTTTCAGGAGTCAGTTTTCTCCTTCACCACTTGGGTCCAAGATGGTTGACCAATGGTGGCAGGTGCCTTTCCCTGCTGAGCCATCTTGCTGGCCCAAGTACTTAGTTCGTTTGTGTTCTGTGTATGAGAAGTACTTGGGATGGTGGTGTGGCTCAAAGGCAGAGCGATTGGGTTGAAGAGCATGGGTTGAAGAGAGGGACAGAGAAAGGGGAAGATGGTAGTTTTCTGTGTGTGGTGAATTGAAGTTTCCACACATGCCCATGAGGTCATTTGTTTCTATTTCTCTGATTTTCCACCTAACATTTGTGTTCTTCATTTTTGAGATTGGGGGAGACATGTTAAAATCTCCTATTATTATAGTAACGGTGGGTTTTGCTTTCTTTAGCCCATCCTTCTCTTGACCGTCCCATGTTCGAATATTTTAATCAAATAGTTAAAAATTGTCTACGGGAAAAGTGACAAGAGTTATTATTTCCTCTGAATTTGGTTTTAGGAGGAAATGTCTAGTGGTAGATAAGCACAGTTTTCTTAATTTGAGTTGTGATTTTAATAAGGAGCCGCCAACATCGCAAAGCCTGAATTTCCATATTAACTTCAAATAGAACTGAAAGCGGTCAAGCTCCCTGGCAGTTCCTCAAACAATTTGTATCATGCAGGAAACTATGGAAACTGAGGAACATCCAAATGCTCTCAAATTTCAGATTTCTTTTTTGTCCACAAGAAATAAAAGCATTTGATAGCTTAAACATTTTAATGAGTCACTTGTTGGTACCTGAACTCAGGCCTTTGTGCATGCTAAGCAAGCACTGTATACCCTGAGCTACACTCCCAGCCGGTTTCATTTTGCTTATTTCTGCCACCTGAGATTGAATCCAGGGTCTTTTTCATGCTAGGCAAGAGTGCTATCATTTACATAAACCTTCAAATCTCTTGTCCAATTTTAGAGCAAGAATCCCACTGAGTCAGTTTAATGAGAATCAGCCTCTTCCTTTGATAGTATCTGACCATTTTCCACGTTCCCTACCCTCAATGTCTAAGTCTTTGGCCTACCTTTGGCAGAATGCTATCAGTAGTACTAAAACCTACTCAAAAGCCTATAAGGCAGTGGTCCTCAACCTGTGGGTCATGACATTTGGGGGGGGGTGTTCACAAATCAGATATCCTGCATTTCAGATATTTCCATTACAATTCATAACAGTACCAAAACTACAGTTATGAAGTAGCAATGAAATGTTTTTATGGTTGGGGGTTAGCACAACACAAGAAACTGTATTAAAGAGTCTCAGCAATAGGAAGATTGAGAACCACTGGTATTAGGTCATAGGAGCTTATGGGCCCTAACAGGGGAACTCACTACTGTTGTTTTGCAAAACAGACACGAGCATTGTCAAACCAAATGCTTCTGTTTATGCTCATAAGTTGGTGCTGCTGTCGACCTTGGCCAGCAGTCAGTGTGGAAATTCATGACTGTTAAAGGTCCTGAGATTGACTATTGAATGCTTAGCCCTAAATGAGATATCTGTATTAACCCCATGAATCTCTGGGAGTAACTCAGAAGATGGGTGGAAAGAGGAAGAGCTGGAGGATGGGGAGGGCTGCTGTGCCATGCTGTCTTTTGTATATGGTATGTCTACTGTACTCCTGAACACAAGCAGCTATGCTCACCCACACAAGATCAAGCCAGTCAAAAATCCCAGCCTGTTTGAGGGAACAGGCTCATGAGGCTCCGCCCCTTGCTGAGGAGCTATTGTCAACTGATGGCTACAGGGGTGACAGGGAGTCACTTTTCTTCTGGTGTAACTGTTGCTAGGTTACACATGCTCACACAGGCAGCACTAATTGGACTCAATGGATTATAGAAAAGGAAGAAAAAAATAGGGGTGGGGCAGGAGAAGAAGGAGGGAGACGTTGGGGAGAGAGTAATTCAGTCTGATGATGGCAGGTGTGGTGGCACTCCTGGTAGGTACCAAGGGCAGCTCCTGTCCTGGACAACACAGTGTGCAGTTTAGCTTGTTACAGCTTGGCAGATCAGGGAATAGACAACTCAGGTTGGAAAGAGGAGATGAGAGAGGAGGAGGGAGGGAGAGGAGGGAGGAGGAAGAAGATGAGAAGGTGGTGGTGGTCATGAATGAGTGATAGGCGTGTGTTCAAGGAATCCAGGGGAATAGAAGGGAGAAGATGGAGATACATATAATCAAGACATATATTCATACAGGAAAATTACAAGGAAAGAAATAGAAAAAGAAGAAAGGTCAGATCGTAATAATTTTCCAAACCAGACATGGTGGAACATGACTGTACACCCAGCATTAGACAGATGGAGGCAGAAGGATTATAAGTTCAAAGTCATCTTTA